ATTAATGCACGTGGAGAGCAAAGGGTAGCCTGTGATCTGAAGATATGTGCTTATAAACAGATGCTGGAAGTATATATTTTAAAAGAGTTCACTTGACATCTACATTATAGTTCAAATTTATTTACAATATCTTCTTACTAAAAACTAAAATGAAAGCTTACATAAATGAGAGTGTATATTTCTCAATGTACTTGACCCAGCCAATTCATTTACTAATGACATACTGTATATATAATTTATGGTGTTTAGATTAACATTTGAATATAAATCTCGAGAAGAAATACACCCATATTCATAAAGATGTTCGTTGTGATAAGGTTTAACTGACTGTGTGATACTTATTCTTTAGAATAGTTCCTACCTAAATTATATTTATTTTCATTAACCTTTAACTGACCAAAGTGAGACAAACTGGCCAAAAGGTAAGGTCTCACAATGCATGATGGATGCATCTATATGCACAATATGGTCAAATATTTGTATGTATTCATTGTATCTGAATCAATCAAATGTGAAGATTTGTAGATATAATACAGCCAAAACTTTATGCAGAGTCTGTGACCCAAGCCCCAACATTCGCTAAGATTTTAATTGAACTCAAGGCTGACAAATCTTGTAGCCAACACCTTGTGCAGAAGAGGGTTACTTGAGTTTACTTTCACCTATGTGCGGCTTACTTAGATGTACAGATGATACTCGAAAAATTAGAATATCATGCAAAAGTTCATTTATTTCAGTAATGCAATGTAAAAGGGGAAACTAATATATGAGATAGACGCATTACATGCAAAGCAAGATATTTCAAGCCGTGATTTGTCATAAGTGCGATGATTATGGCTTACAGCTCATGAAAACCCCAAATCCACAATCTCAGAAAATTACAATATTGTGAAAAGGTGCAATATTCTAGGCTCACAGTGTCCCACTCTAATCAGCTAACTAAGCCATAACACCTGCAAATGGTTTCTGAGCCTTAAATGGTCTCTCAGACTGGTTCAGTAGGAATCACAATCATGGGGAAGACTGCTGACCTGACAGTTGTGCAGAAAACCATCATTGACACCCTCCATAAGGAGGGAAAACCTCAAAAGGTAATTGTGAAGGAAGTTTGATGTTCCCAAAGTGCTGTATCAAAGCACATTAATAGAAAGTTATGTGGAAGGTAAAAGTGTGGAAGAAAAAGGTGCACAAGCAGCAGGGATGACCGCAGCCTGGAGAGGATTGTCAGGAAAAGGCCATTCAAATGTGTTGGGGACTTTCACATTCAAATGTGTTGGGGACTGTGGCTGGAGTCAGTGCATCAAGAGCCACCACACACATACAGATCCTGGACATGGGCTTCAGATGTCGTATTCCTCTTGTCAAGCTGCTCCTGAACAACAAACAACGTCAGAAGCGTCTTACCTGGGATAAAGAAAAACAGACCTGGTCTGTTGGTCTGTGGTCCAAAGTCCTCTTTTCTGATGAGAGCAACTTTTGCATTTCATTTGGAAACCAAGGACCCAGAGTCTGGAGGAAGAATGGAGAGGCACACACTGCAAGATGCTCGAAGTCCAGTGTGAAGTTTCCACAGTCTGTGTTGATTTGGGGAGCCATGTCATCTGCTGGTGTTGGTCCACTGTGCTTCATTAAGTCCAGGGTCAACGCAGCCATCTACCTGGAGATTTTGGAGCACTTCATGCTTCCTTCCACGGACGAGCTTTATGGGGATGCTGACTTCATTTCCCAGCAGGACTTGGCACCTGCCCACACTGCCAAAAGCACCAAAGCCTGATTCAATGACCATGGGATTACTGTGCTTGATTGGCCAGCAAACTCGCCTGACCTGGACCCCATAAAGAATTAATTTAAAAAGCCCAGTATGTCTGGCAAAGCTGGGGTCAACCTACCAACGAGATTTCATCTGAGATCATTCTTGGCAGTTGAAAAGGATTAGTGGATTGGTGTAGGTTATTTAGCAAGTGAGCTTAAGCAACTTTTGGCTACAATCATTTCATGATACAATCTACATCCAAGCTATTAAATATTACATCTAGTGTTTTCACTTCCTTATGTACATCCTTTTGGTTCTCTTTTCAATCACTTTTGTTTTTCACTGTGTGTAACACTATCAAAATGAAGTGTTTATCTGTGGTTCATTTTTATTATTTGTGCCACTACGTTACGTCATTGCCATCTAATAAAGTTTTCTTCAATTTTGCTACACATAGGACCTGAATATCCATAGTGGTTCTTTGTCTAAGACCAGTTCTCCTTTTTTTTTCCTATATTTGTACTTCGGGGTAATGCCCTGGTTATCCACTTCTTAACGCAACAGGTGTAGGACATTTTCTGCTCTGCACCTGATGTGTGCTTTTTCTAAATATATCTCATATATAAATATATATTTTTAAATTTATTAACTTTATTTTTATTTAAACTTTTTTGTAACTTTTTTCACCAGCAGGGAGACGGCCTGTCAGTTCAGGCAGTACCCCTGCTGGCAGTACTATTTACACCTATTGCGGCCATGTGACTGCTCTTTTAGAGCGGTAACATGGTCCTTGGGGGTCCTAATTTGCAGAGAGGGAACTGTTTGGGTGTCAAACAGTCCCCCCATAGAAGATCACCGGCGGGGGAACGGCAGCGATCAGGTAAGTACGTATGGAGGGAGGAAGAGGGAGGGAAAGAAGGGGTTAATTAAAAAACAAAACTATTTATTTTTTTTAATTTTTTTTTTTTTCACTGAGTGACTCGACCCCTTGAGGCACTCAGCACAGGCAGAGCATCGGAAGCATGTCTGATGGCTTCCGATGTTCTGCCTTACTGCCGGGCGACACGTGGGGCAACCCGGAAGTGATCGCTTCATGGGACTGATCACCTAGCGGCCTGGCAGTGATGAAGGGTAATACAGGATGCCTTGACATCGAGGCATTGCTGCCATACTGTTAGAGCAGCTGGAAGCGATCATGATCGCTTCCAGCACTCTAATTCTCCGCGGACGTATCAGGTATGTCTGTGGTCCTTAAGGACTATTTTTATGTCCAAGGTCGGGAAGGAGTTAAAGCTCAATCTTTCTAAAACTAAGTTTCCTATCTTCCCTCCTTATAATATGAATCCTCTGCTGTCACTCTACCTACAAGTAGATGTTGGTCCTATAAGTCCATCCTTGGTATTATCTTTTACTCTGGCCTTAGTTTTAAACAGTTGTTTGCCACATCCTACCATTTTCATCTTAAAAATATTGCCTAAATTCTCCTTTTCTTATGCAATATAATAATTTGACCTTGGTCATGTTCTTGTCATTTTTATAGTCAGTTAATGTAGTTCTCTTCTAATTGGTCTCTCCAGAACCTATACTGCTTCTCTACAGTCCATAATAATTTTCTTTTTTTTATAATAGTTTGTTTCTTATTTGTTTTTCCTTCTACTCCTCATTAAAATTGTAAAGCCCTGCGGAAAATGTTGGTGCTATATACAGTCAATAATAATAATAATAATCAAAATAAAATACTTACCGAACATATGGGTGGCTATGACTGGCCACAAGGAAGTTTCTTGTGCACCATAATTTTGGCTAGTGTCCACTTAGTCCTGCCAAGGGCAGTTTTCCTTTCACACATATCAGGAAGAATGTAGTTTAAGTAGCAAAGACATAGAAATTTAGGTTTTCACAATGCATAAAAGGATCCGGTTATATTTTTCACTATGCCTTTAGCACATTTGCCAGCAATTTGGTAACACAGTGTGAATAATACATTAAGAATTTTGCACACAGAGTCACTTTAAATAAATATTAATGCTAAAACTACAGTACTTTGTTATTGTCATACTTTTTTTAAATCCTTATGGATATGAAAACCTTAAAATAATAATTTTGTTTTTTTTGATCTACAGGGTCCAGTTATTTTTACTTTACATGGTTAAATTTCAATAAACACACAGATTGACTTTTACACTATTAACAGGACAACATATATCATCATTCTTGTGGGGCAACTCTTTGGGGCATTACATGCACTTTGTGTTGTATTTTATGACTTATTCTTCATAATAAAGTATATGGCTGAGAGGCACACTTGTCAGAATATAACAAATTGTTGTATCAAGTGCTATTTCTCAATTTCGGTTTCTCATATTTCATTTTTTTTTTCTTCCAACAGTGTTATAGCTATTGAAAAAGATTTATAAAACAGTGAGGTAAGCCTGAAAACTTTAATTTCTCTAAAGTAAATAAAATGCATAGACATACAGAGAAATAGTTTAAAAATACAGAGGAAAATGTATTCATATTTACCGTAATTTTCTTTTCCTGGCTATTATTCATGGCAGCATATACATATGGGTTAGCTCCTCCCCTTACAGCAGATCAAGCGCTACGGAATCTGTTGGCGCTATATAAATGGCAATAATAATAGGACCGGAATAAAATTTAAAAAAGCCTTTAAAATGAGTATCCCTGTATGGGCCCCTCAGTCAGTAACAAGCTACTACAGAAGAATTAAAATCAACACTGGGTGGGTAGTATATGCTGGGAATACCCAAGCTTAGCAGGGAGGGACAGAAGCATACATAACTGGCAATCAAATAATCAGAACAATTCAACATAGATGAGAAGATTGAACTGAGTTAAGGACGTGACGTCCAAATTGCGCCTCGTTGATTGCTTCAACGTCCAGCATATAATGCTGGACAAAAGAGTTCAAAGAGGTCCAAATGCCCACTTTACAAAATTTCAGCAGAGACCATTGCCATGGAAGCCCATGATGCTGCAACTGCACGAGTGGAGAGTGCCTCCTTTGGTACAGGTAGAGAATGGCATTGATAAGCTTTCACTCTAGGCAGGATTTCTGGTGCTAAATAGAAGACAACCATATCCTGTTGAACATTAGTGAATGGAGGAACACAGGATCAAGCCACACATTCACCTTGCTGAGGTACCAGCCACCAGCAACAGCACTTTATGTACTGACACAATCGAAGCTCCTGCTAGAGCAGGGCTGCCCAACAGGTAGATCCCCAGATGTTGTAGAACTACAACTCCCATGGTGCTTTGTCATTCTAAATACATTCTAAAGGCATGCAAAGCATCATGGGAGTTGTAGTTCTACAACATCTGGGTATGTACCTGTGCCCTGTGATAGAGGTTCGAATGGTAGTTTAGTGAGAGCCTGTAAGACCAGAGGTATGTCACATATGGGCTTCAACACCCTCAATGGAGGCTTGAATTTAATTGCTGCTTCCAATGCTCATTGATACCCATCCATGTGGAAAGTGACGATCTGTGTTCCTCTAGAGTGTTATAACTCAGACCAAATGCATGCCAAGTTTTGTCATCTGTAAAGTATGTATAGGCCTGTAAGAGGATCTTAATGACGGTCTCAGGGATGAGTATACTTCTAGAGACACCCGCCTCAACACCAGAGCTTAAGGATCTTGGTGTGTCAAGGGACCTTGTAATAATAGGTCTGGACTTACTAGAATTTCCCTTGGAGGTTCAAGATTCCTCTTACTCAGCATAGGGATTTAGAGTCTTTGTTGCCTGCCACTGTCTCTTTTGAATTTCTTATAGGAACGTTGAAGACAGGAAAAATATGTACATCAGACTGAGACTCCAAATTTGAGTCAGAGTATCCTGACCTTATGCATTCTGGTCCTAAAAATGTTTCTGGACCTGGTAGTTGTGAGAAGTGGCCATCGGATTTACATAGAGTATCAGCCAAATCTGAGTGAACCCTGAGGATACGTCGGGACAAAGTTGCCATTCCACCTTAACCACTGTTACTCAGCTCAGGCAATCATCCATTGTATTCTGAGCCCCTGGTTGTTCTCCTGTGCCCTACTCATCATGGGCTATAATTCCCTCATAAATAAGTTGCTGTGAGATCCACCTTTACGATTGATATAGGATACATTTGCCTTGATAGTTGAGCAAATTTAGACCCACTTGTTCTTCAGCAACCTTCCAAAGTGAAGAAGAGCCCTGAAAATGACTCATAATTCCATAGCATTGGATAGAAATATTGTTCCTTCCCTTATCCACAGACATTGAGTAAGATGGTTGTGACAATGTGTATCCAATCCTTGATAACTGGAATCTGAGCTTATAATTGCCCAATAAAGTTCTGTTCATAGGAAACCCAGAGACATATTCCCTCTTTCAGCTACCAGGTAAGTTATAACTCCACTGATGGTGACATCGTCAGTGGCTGGCTCCAATTCATATTTCTCCTGTTGAACTGAGATAGGAAGGATAGGAAGGACCTTTGAGGAATTCCTAGTAGTTGCATCTACTTTTTTTCTGTTACCAAGAGAAAATGAAGAAACTGGAAGGGAAAACTTCCACCATCTGTGGAACTGTTCCTGAGATAGGGGAAAGCAGAGTATAGAATACATTCACGTCTGAAAAGTCATCCTCTGAGCTGGCATGAGACTGCTCTTTTTGGCATTCATCAAGCAGCCAAATTTCAAGCATTCTGAAAGAACTATATGCCTCTGTGTGCCTGCCTTCTGTGGGTCTGAGGCTACCAGTAGTAGATCATCCAGATAATGGAACCAGTTGGTGTTCTGGACTCTCAATATCACTATAGGCACACATAAGGTTCTTGGAGCTGCAGTGAGGCCAAATGGTAGGGCACTAAATTGGGAGTTCTCTTCTGCAATAAGGCTGATGATCTACGACTATTGGAATGATAGTAAGCATCCTTGAGATATATAGAGATAAGGAAATTGTCCTTCCAAATTGCTAGGGATATGGATTTGATTGACTCCATCCTGAAGGCTCTGTCATTCAGTCTATTGTTGGCCCTTCTTAGGTCCAGTATAAGCTTCCATGTGCCTTTACTTTTAGCATCAGAAGAGAGGCGAACATTGTCCAAGGAACCACTCTTCTTAAGGGACCTAAGAAATCACATCTTCGTCCAGAAGGTTTCATACATATTCCTTCAGTGCTATACCTTTATTCATCTGTCTGAATTCTCTTGTTGGTATAGAGACTCTATTGTCTGAAGTTTCAGTGCTACACCCATTTCATAGCTCTATTAGAACATTGAAAGGCAGGTTACTGTGACAGACCCATCTGTCTGGATTACAAATACTTTGTTCGCCTGTTTTGCCGGTTACATGAATTTCCCCATTCGTATGCTTTATTCAAGGGAATGTCGTTTTTTTTGTCGAACGGAACTACCGAACGGACGGCCACCCAGAAGAGAAGTGTGCTGCTGGTTAACCTATTGATCCCAATTAGAACGTTGCGGTTAACCACAGACACTTCTCAATTAAAACCGAATGCCGGGTGGTCGTCGTTCGTATGTCGACCACGAGGCGGCGGCCATTTTGTCCATGCGAACGACCAGCGGTGTTCAACGATTATTTCATGGATCGAAAACGGACACTTTTTCAGCCGAACACCGCTGAAGCCGTCGACCTCCCCTTCTCAATCGACAAAAGCATACGAACGACAGCCGTTCGGGAGATTCAACCACACGAATGGACTTAACCCAGATAGCCGTCCCATGGAGTCAATCGCATACCGAAGAACTGAAAGAGACTTTGACTCCATGGCGATTGAACTGTGCGAATGGGATCTGAGCGCTATTCTCCAATAATGTGCACTCAGATCCAGGCTATCTGCGGATATGCAATACGAATGTAAAATGGTCGGCAGTTATGTAGTTATGGATTTTTATGTGTTTTTGTGACTTGTGTTTAAAATGGCGATTGCCTCTGCTCGGGGAGATAATTTAGTTACTTCCCAATTATCCCCCGAGCAGAGGGGAGGGAACTGTACTGCATGCTGGGATTATTGTGGGGATGTATGTCCAAAATGTCCCCATGTCCTTCTGTGATTCCAGTCTCCCATTTGGTCCCCCAGGGGAGTGTCCACCAAGTGGGAGACCTGCATAAATACGGGGCAGGTAGCCCACAGTAAATCAGTTCGTGTTTTACCCTCAAAGCGGAGCTTGGTCTCGTTATTGGGGGGATTTGGTTACCAGCGGCTAGAGACTGCTTATTTGGATTATTTGCCGCTTGGGAGATATTGTCGTTTGGTTGCTAATTGCCGTTCGTGGATTTGCAGCTCGTGAAGGGAATTAGCCGTACAGGTACTGTTCGGGAGTTTGGAGTGTTCCCTGGCTGGCGGTTCGCATGGTTTTATTATACCCGCTACCCGACCACATTATTGCGAACGGGGAATACTCGCTAAACGGCGGTTTGTACATTTCATTACTGGAGGTACCGTAACAGTTACCAACTACCACAAGTTACCTCTGAAATATACCATGTAGATTCAGTAATTCTATGTATCTCAGAAATGCTGGTCACTGGAGGTTCTCCTGTCTGACCCTGAGCAGCCGTATTCTTGGATCTTAAGTCCTGAGGTACAAATACCTTGCAGCTCTCAGCTGCCTTTTTAATGGATTCATCAAAAGCTGTCCCAAGCAGCAGCTCCCCTTCAAATAGAATGGTGTAAAGTGCAGACTTGGAGGATGAGTCATCATCCCAGAAGAAAAACCATAATGCTTTCTTAGATGCTATGGATAAAGCCATTTGTTTGAGAGAATATCCTAGTCAAATCTAGGGAAGCTTCTGTGAAGAAGTCACTTCAATCTTGGCTCTTAATATCTCTCTTTACATTTAGCATTTAGATCTTTAATCACACTTTTCATGGTTCTAGAAACAGCAGTGAAAACTACAGCTGGATGACAACCTGCATTGGCAGGTGTATAGATTTGGACAGGTCTGCATCCACTTTTTATCCATAGGCTTGCGTAAAAAAAGCTGAGTTGTTAAGCGGTAGTATCGTCTCACAGGCTACCCTGGAAACCAGAGCATCCAACACAGGTGGTGTAGTCCAAGGGGTGGAAGTACCTTCCTCCACACGGTAAAGTTTAGCTTCTTTTCTTACCTCTAAGGCCTTTGAAATACTTTGGAACTTCCTTGTAAGTCACGCCCGCCTGTCATGTGGCTGCACCGGTATAGGTGATGCTGAAGTGGCTACCTTCTGAAGACAGGCAATGCATAACAGTTTTTCTACCACTGCATTTCCATCACAATCAGAACATGGTGTAGATTCAGACATAAAATAAACAAAACAAAAGTAAATATTACATGGCGAAGTATAAAAGGGCACTGTCAAATTCTAACCAAGAAAATAGTCAAACAGATTTAAAACTGGCTAAAAACAGCACTTACCCATGTCTGGAGAACCTGCAAATACTTTCCAAATAGGTTTGGGATGTTTAAAGTAATTCCCCTCCATTTTAGGTACTTTCTGGCAATTTCATTAATCCAAGATGGCTGTCGCAATCTGTATTCCCATAATGCAAGTCATCGGTATTGGGGCTTTAAGGCACAAACTGCATATGCGTGGGCATCTGCCAAGTGCATTTTCTGTCTAGAGACCAGGGAGAGAGCATGGTCTGCAGCATACATGGTCCCTAAACACCCAGGGAACTGGGAATAAATCTCTGGGACTGAGAGTAAGCATAAGAAATAAAATAAAAGTGCCTGAAAGGTAATAAAAATGCAACAAGGTACCAAAAAGTCACCAAAATTAAAGGCATCACAGTTTAAAAGGTCTCACAGTAGAAAAAGTCTCACAGAATAAAAGGCATCACAGTATAAGGCAGTAAAGGCACAGCAGCATAATGCACCACAGTTTAAAGATATTACAGCATAAGGCACAGCTGCATAATGCATCACAGTTTAAAGGAATCACCGTAGGTGTGGGGAACCTCTGGCCCTCCAGATGTTTTGGACTTCATCTCCGATAATATTCTTACAGTCATAATGCTTGCAAAGCATCAAGGGAGATGTAGTCCAAAACACCTGGAGGGCCGAAGGTTCCTTACCCCTGAATCACAGTGTAAAAGTAGCATAGTATAAACACATCACAGTACACACTAAAATAGCAAAAACAAATAAAGTAATGAAGAGAAAAAACATACATGTCTATGAGTAAAGGGAGCAAAATGCTCCTTTTAAAGGCTTTTTTTTTTATTCCTGTCCTATCGGCTGTAAGGGGAGGAGCTAACCCATATGTATATGCTGCCATGATTAGCCAGGAAATATATTTTATATCAATATTTACCTGTCTTTGTCTGTCTGTATGGATA